AGGCCCGTCCCCACCTCTCCATGACGAAGGAAGCCAGAGCTCGCGGCCCTGCTGAAGACGTCCCATGGCCCCCAGCCTGCGCCTGACGCCACCGGCAGCTCCCACCTCCCGCCTGGCCTGGCAGACTGCTACACCTCCCTCAAAGCCCTCACCGCCCCCAGCCTCCCACAGGCAGGCCCCACGGGGCGGTGCTGCCGGAACCCGTGTGCCACGAGCGCCAGAGCTCTCCTCAGGCACCACCTCCTGGCATTCAGCTGCACAGCCTGGTTCCGGGGGACATGGGAGGGGCTGGGTGCCCGTGGCTCTCCCCCACGCACCGCTGGGACCCTCACTCCCTGCAGCTGGGGTGCACCCTCCCACGGGGGCTTCTGGGCAGGAAGGTGGGGGGGGGGGGCAGGGACCGGATGCAGGCGCAAAGGGCATGAAGGTGCCTGGAGAAGGAGGGGCCGTGTGTTCTCCCTAGAAAGAGCACCTGGTCGGCCTCACCCAGGTGGGCGGCACGAGGCCCCGGAGTCCTCCCCTCACGTGCCAGGCCCACGCCAGTTGTCCAACCACTGCAAGAAGCTCCCTGAGCCGACCGCCATTCGGCCACCCACAGCATCCAGGACCCAGCCCACAACCCGCCTTGGGGACCACCCCCGGGTCACCCTCCCAGGCCTGACCTGCTCTCCTCAGTCCACGGCTGCTGTGACTGGCAACGTCCCAGGGTTGGTGCACAACTCAGCAGCGGGTGGGCACAGAGACCCAGCCTGGCCCTCGCTGGATTCCACCCAGGACCACACCCTGCTGCTGGGGTCCGCCCGGGCTGTGGGCCCTGCTGGCGTGGGTCCGCCAATGTGCAGGCAGCAGAAGCCCTGCCCAGGCCCTGCACAAGGAAGCTGCTCTCCCAGCATCGCCCAACCACTCCGTCACATCCCCGGGACAGGACCAGGGGTGAGTGCTGGGCCTGCGTCTCAGGGCAGCAGTCTACCGCTCGGCCTCCCGTCTGCTGGGCTGGTCCCAGGGGAAGGTGTTTTCTGGTCTCTTGAGTCAAGCACTCACTTTGGGAGCTGGACCCTTTCCTCGCCCATGGTACCTCCGCCAGGCCCCAGAGGTGTCACACTCAGCCTCAGGAAGGGACAAAAGCAGCCCCAAAGTCCCCCCTGTGCACCTGTTCCCCTGCCGGGCTCTCACTCCCGACGGCCAGTGCCTCGTTCCCATGGGTGTCCAGGCCCCGTCCACGTGCAGCACCAGTGCCACCACCGTGTGCAGCCGTCCCTGAGCAGACATAGGAGACAAGGAGCCACCCTGCCTCCTGCCCCCTTCAGGGCCACCTCCTTCCACCGACGCCCCAGCCCCTCACACGGGAGCCCAGCTCCCCCTGCCACGCGCCCACTCCAAGGCCCGGCCCCCTGCAGGCCCCACTCCCTGGCCCCTGGTGACAATGCTGGACCCCCAGGTGGGATTTACCCCAGTCACCCCCAGAATGGGTGCTCCCCATCACCCATCTTAACAGGCACTAAGTGGCTAAAGGCGGCGCTAGAGGCAGCCACTGAATGAAGTGTTGCGAACTGAGCGGGCTGTGGATAGGGTCCCCGCCCCGGGATGCACGCGGGAGGCTGCGCTTTCACTGGACACAGGGGACGCCTGGGCAGGGCTCCCCAAACACCAGTGCTCAGACAGGAGCAGACCGCACGCCTGTGGCATCTGAGACCAGCGGAGCCGGCAGGACCACAGGGCAGAGGGCTCCCTTCCTTCCCGGATCCAGCAGGAGGCGGGGCGGACCCTGAGGCCCGGGTACGACCCCTGAGAGGCAGCCCGGGCTGGGGCGGCAGAGGGCAGCAGCCAACAAGGAGGGCCCCGGGACCCCAGAGGCCGTGTTCCAGGTCTGTGCTTGCCCAAGGAGACACCTGCTCCGCTCTCAAGGAGAGGAAGCCAGGAAGGAAACGTAGAGACTCTGAGCAAAGGAACACAAAGCTGGAAGACAGGCGCCCCTCTCTCTGGGAGAGGCGGGAGCCCTGCAGGGGCTGGCGGGCAGGGCGGCGTCTGTGCCGGCACAGGGGCGGGCGGGAGAGGCAGGGACAGAGAAGGGGGCAAGCAAAGGTGATGAGAAGCCGCACGGGGCACGGGGCTGCTCCCCAGGGGCCGCTCCCCAGGGCCCGGCCGCCTGCAGCGCCCCACAGTCTGCATTTCCAACAGGCTCACCAGGGCCCCACGCAGAGCCAGTGCTGCAGGGAGGGAAACTTCAGAGAATCGCCCAGGAACTTGGGAGAGAAATGACCGCGAGGGACCAGCACTGTGGCACTGCCTACAATACCAGCACCCCATGTGGGCACTGCTTTGAGACCTGGCGGCTCCACTCCAGAACCAGCTCCCTGGAGCGGTGGTGGTCGTGGGGACTGAGCCTCAGCCCCAGGCTCTGATGGCGTCAGAACCAAACAAGAGAGGGCCGGGGACATCACCGTGCCACTGCCGGCTGGCCGGGCAGGGAAGCGCCAGCCCCTGGTGTCAGAGCTGTGAAAGCAGAACTGGGGAACCTGAGCTCCGGTCTGGTCTTCTCCTGTAGTCAGGCAGAAAGGCAAAGCGAAGCAGCCATCGTCAAGCACGCTGGTAGGAGGAGGAGATACGGGGCCAGCGCTGTGGCGTAGCGGGTAAAGCTGCCGCCTGCATCGCTGACCTCCCCTATGGGCACCGGCTTGTGTCCTGATTGCTCCACTCCCGATCCAGCTCCCTGCTAATGGCCTGGGAAAGCAGTGGAAGATGGCCGAGGCGCTTGGGCCCCTGCACCCATGAGGAAGACCCAGAAGAAGCTCCTGGCTCCTGGCTTTTGCCTGACTAAGCTCTGGCCATTGCAGTCATTTGGAAAGTGAACCAGTAAACAGAACATCTCTCTCCTCAATCTCTCTCAATCTCAATCAATACCTCCCTCCCTCCCTCCCTCTCCCTTTCTCTCTCTCTCTCTCTCTCTCTCTCTGTCTTTCAAGTAAACAAATAAATGTTACATTAAAAAAAAAAAAAAGGACGCTGGCTAGGACCCGTGTCCCACATCGGACGGCCTCAGCCGAGCGTGTGCTGCACTCCCAGGGCTCCAGCTCCCGGCTGACGCACACCCTCAGAAGCAGTGGCGATGGCTCCAGCAGCTGAGTCCCTGTCGCCCGCAGGGAGACCTGGACTGAGCGCCTGGCCCCCAGCTTCCGCCTAGCCCAGGCCTGGTCACTGCAGGCAGACGGAGTCTCCCCCAACCCGCCCTCTCTTTGTCTCTGACTCTCAAATACATCAGGTTTTAAGAAAAGGAAGAAATGCACACAAGCAGAGTCCACAGGGAAGTCTCTGCTTTCTCCAGGACTCAGGGGAGGTTTTAAGGGGAAACAGGGCTTCTTTATTTATTTTTTTATTTTTTTAAACAGGCAGAGTGGACAGTGAGAGAGAGAGACAGAGAGAAAGGTCTTCCTTTGCCGTTGGTTCACCCTCCAATGGCCGCTGCGGCCGGCGCGCTGCGGCCGGCGCACCGCGCTGATCCGATGGCAGGAGCCAGGAGCCAGGTGCTTTTCCTTATTTTTGACAGGCAGAGTGCACAGTGAGAGAGAGAGAGACGGAGAGAAAGGTCTTCCTTTGCCGTTGGTTCACCCTCCAATGGCCGCCGCGGAGGGCGCGCTGCAGCCGGCGTACCGCGCTGATCTGATGGCAGGAGCCAGGTACTTCTGGTCTCCCATGGGGTGCAGGGCCCAAGCACCTGGGCCATCCTCCACTGCACTCCCGGGCCACAGCAGAGAGCTGGCCTGGAAGAGGGGCAACCGGGACAGAATCCGGCGCCCTGACTGGGACTAGAACCCGGTGTGCCGGCACCACAAGGCAGAGGATTAGCCTAGTGAGCCACGGCACTGGCAGGAAACAGGGCTTCTCAGATTCATTTCTAGGACCTTGTGGGTGAGAGAAATAAGGTCAAGCCCTCTCAGAAAGCAGCCAGGGGACGTCACTGCTGGCGCTGACAACTCTGCTCAGGGCACAGTGTCAGAAGACTAAGGCTTACGCACAACAGACCTATGGCCACACTCACGTACGCAGATCCCACACACCCAAGACACGTGCAGGTGCACACATGCGGCCACAAAGACACACATGTGCACCCATGCAGAGACAGGCAAACACGCAATATCCACACGTGCTTCTCCACACATATGCAAACGGACACATGTACTGTACCTGTGTGTCCTTCCACACACACGCACAGATGGCAACACACACGTGATCTTAACACACCTCTATGACCTACTTCTTACTTATGTCCTGCTTTACTGTGGACCCGAGGTACCATCACGATGTTTATGTGCGAAAAGCAATGTGTGCATCTGTACGGGTGCGGTCAGCACGGCCACGCCCTATCATCACCACATAGGGAACACAGTTCAGAAACAGGTCCTGCCTCTCCCATCTCCCAGCAGCCCCCGCCTGGGAGGGCCTGGGAGCCCCAGGCTGGGAAAGAGCCTGGCCAGACCCACCAAGAGATGCACCTGTGAGGCCAGGCCAGCCTGGGGGTGTGAGAATGGGGTGGCAGCCATGTGGGATGTGTCCAGGAACCAGGCCGCAGCCTCCACTGTGGCCACCCTGCCCCACTCACTCCCAGCACGTTCTGGGGCCAGCCATGCAGGGCCAACACTGAGCTTATGGAGGCTTCAGCCCTTTGTCCATGCCGCGGGGGCCTGTGGGTCAGGCCTAGGGGCACAGCCAGGACCAGCCTTGTCCTCACATTGGCCCTATTAGCCTGTTCCAGGCACATCCAGAAGGCAATGCACCCAATGCCAGCTGCTACACCACTGCCTGCAAGCTGGTCAGCCCTCCGAGGACAGCCAGTCCAGCTGCCCATCCGTGCGACTCCTACACAACCTTGAGGGAGTCTTGTGTCCCCAGTGCCAATGTGTGACACTGGGAATATGGCCCACCACCCGACACAGACCAGCCGGGAGCCCAGCGCCCACGCAGCTCCAGAGGGGCAGAGGGGCCATGGGGCCGGGGCCACTCACCTGCTTCTCATTCTCGTCTTCCAGCCGCAGCCGGTCCTCAATGCAGCTCCGTGCCTGCAGGAAGGCCTTGCGCTGTGAGCGCTCGGTCAGGATGCGCACGAACACGCCGTACATGTTCACGCCCACGAAGAGCAGGGCATTGGCGCCGAGCTGCAGGAGAGAACACGTGTGGCTTCAGGGCCTGGACTTCCCATGGAGTTGAGGGCCACAGGCTGTCCAGGGAGCAACAGGCCCCCCAGCACCCCTGCAGCCAGCCACAGGGCAGCCACGGCCACTCGAGACAAAGCCACACGAGCGAAGCCACCACGAGCCCTGGGCACAGGGTTCACCCCCCATCCCATCCAAAGCTGGATGGACTACCAGCCCCACCCCCGCCTGCCTGCCCAGGGAAAATGTGCTCGAATTTGACCTCTCCACTCACCCTGCTTATAGATATATCTTTCATTTTTTGTTAATTTAAGAATTTGTGATGTGTTTGGGGGTGGCATTGGTAAATCGTGACACG